TTCATAATTTTCATACCCTAAGGAAGAAGAGAAATCTAAATTTCATATACTTTAAGCTTTTTCACAGTTACTGCTGCTATAATTTCAGTCCTACACTCCTCCTTTTACCTTTGTAAGCAGGTTTATTTAGTTTTAGTTATTTAATTGCTGCTTTTAAATCAAGTTCTGCAAATCTGAGTTCAAATTCCTCTATTGGTGAACTGACAGAGTTAATAACCTGCACTCAAATGTTACCTAGAGCCACCACAACCCATCTTAACAATGAAACTGGAGTAAACCAAAAGAAAGAATGTCTGTTGACTTAATAATGCCTGTTTATCATGAACGCTACTATTTGGTGATGACACTAACTATACATTTTGTTGTTAATTGTACCTACTTCAAGTTCACATGGTGTTTAGCAAGATAGCTATGTTTCTTTTGATTAACTTTCTTTTAAATACTATATGTTGGTAGGATTTAGTTGAATTATGCTGACTTGAGTACTTGACCAATGCATCAAACATGTTCAAGGAATGGGGATGCATGCAAGACACAACAATTGCGTTTCTATTCTAGTATTTGAAATGACAATCATATGATGAATGGGTGGGTAAATGACCACTTGCTAATTCTAACCTTAAGAAAATAAAAATAACAAACATATGATAGTGATGTCATGTTCTTACTTTAGAAATTGTGTCTTCATGTCCGAGACCAATATGATACGTGTCTATAGATGTTCTACTCAAATGAAATGGTTGTTCAATTTCAGCATCATTATTATTGCCATTTTGTATTCTTTATATTTACCTGGTTCTGTTTCTGTTGCAGCTTTGTAGGAAAGGGATTAAGGTAACAATAGTTTGTCCAGGACCTGTATAAACATCAAGTAGTCCTGAAGCAAGTACCTCAGGAGCGGGCGGTGCCTCTGAGGTGATGGCTTTTTTCTACTCTGTATAAAATTTAAATGAAATCCAATGACGAGTGATGAGTCATTATCTTCTTTATTAATTATGCTGTCTGGTCAAAGTTCTCTATAGTACATATAGCTTGCTTAAACTAACAAAATAACTATTTGAAGGCAGTAAAGGATTCTTACTCTATTAGAATGTAGTATCTGTTACTTTCTCAACCTACTGAAACACAAAGAGCCACTCTATTAGAATGTAGTATCTGTTACTTTCTCAACCTACTGAAACACAAAGAGCCAATAACGCCTTCACTGAGGCTTGAACTCACAACCTTCCAAATGGAAGTCCAACCCGGGTACCATTAGACCACATAGTCTTGGTCAAGGATTCCCCATTGTGCTGCAGATAAAGTTCAGTGAATTTGTTGCAAGACACATTGGGGAGGAAGAAGGGATTATATTGGAAGCTGAGACAGGAGATTATCTTGGAAAAAAGGAGGTTTTTGGTTCTACACTATTGGCCAATGACAAGGTTTATGACTTCCCGGAGGACACTGGTATAATCTCTCTCCATAGCTTTCTCTCAAACTGTTTTAGTTGTCTCAACCTTGGAGTAACTTTTCAATTTGATCATCTTGGTGCATTATTCTCATGTACAATAACGCTAGAACATGATAAGTAACATCTACTTGGAAACAATGATTTCTAGTAATAGTTTGACTTAATGTTATGATCATAATGCAATAACATTTCATCATCTTTGGAAACAATGACTTCTAGCAGCTTCCATGTTGTTGGCAGCACTGTAGTAATTGATGCTGTGTCCTGGGCTATTTTTTTCTTGGGAAAAGAATTATAAGCTATGTTGATTCTTTGTTAGTTATCTATCATGGCCACTACTCTAATCAATTATTAAAACAAAACATATGAGAAGTTGACAATATTTTTCCTTTGTTGTAAAGAGTTCATATTGTTTGGAATCTAGACCTCAAGACTTGAGGTTGCATCTAGTACAATGGCAAAACATGGAAAAATTCCAGTTGTTGCAAAGGCTCGTACTAAAAGAAAACATACGAGAAGAAGAAAGAAGAAATTTAAGGTATTATTGTCTCTTAGTTATTTGTTGTTTAAGTTATTGTGCATATTTAACCTTGTTACTAATGAATAGAGTTGATAGTTAATTAACCGTACCCTTTTTATAATGAATAGAGGTCTTCTATGCAGGGAAGAAAATCTGAAGCTCAAGATTTGGAACATCAAGATTTTGAGGTAAGTTTGTTTTGACATTTTTGTGGCATCATGACAATTTTGTAGTTAATTGATGAAACTTTTAAATTTTTATAGCAGCATGATAGCACCCTGATGTCTCAGCATAACAATAAACGCAAGGGTAAAGGAATTGCTCTTCCACAATCTGAAGATCTGATATTGCAACCTCCATCAATGGCTATTTTAGAAGAAGATCATATGCAAATACTAATGATTCCTACGCCACCGAACATTGTGCGACGAGAGTTACATGATACTGATTCAGAGCGTACAATATCAACTGGTCCAAGCACAAGTAATAGTCATATGGCACAAGTAATAGTAATAGCCTTGCATTAAGCGGATATTCCCCGAGGCAGTTAACACTTTTAAAACTGCTCCTCAACATCTTAAGGATGTTTGATTTAATGAATTCAAGGTAAAGCATTATACATTTGGCATAATATTTGTAAAAAGAGGCTGCTGAAAGGCTATTTTTTTTTTTTTTTTTTGTTTCAGAAACGACATGAATGAGATCCTAATGACGAGGATATTGTTCGAATGATATTTGAGAAAAGGCCTGCTAAATTGTTTGCTGACGCGTTAAGTGATGTGCGCACAAGATTGGCATCAGGAGATAGAATACCAGGATGGATATATGATCCTGTATTGGCCCAATACCATGTCATATGGAACAACAATGAATTCAAGAAGACAACTGAGAAGAATAAGCGTAATAGGAATTCAGATTGTGGAGGAATTGGTCCATCATTACAGACTGCAGGTTTTATCCCTATCACCGAACATAGAAGAAGACTAGTAAGTTATATACAATCAATTGATACCTATTTTTGAATAGAAAGAAAATTTATATTAAATTTATATTAAGTATTATTTCTACTATTGTTGAATAGAAAGACAAGCTTGGAAAGGAACCTACTTATACAGAACTATTCAATGCTACACACACACTTAAACGAGGAAGAGGATATGTATGCCGAAGAGCGCAACAAGTAATTGTAAAATTCCCTATTCAATGTTGCTTTAATTGAATATTTCTGTATTAATTATATGTTTCTTTTCAATGGTTCTGTTTTGCAAATTTAATATTGCAGTAAAGTTTTCAATGTTTCTTTTACAATTATTAATTATATTCAATGTTGCAACTCAGGATATGTAACATTCAATGTTTCTTTTTGAAGCTCAGTGAGTATATCCTAAATGCACCCATGTTAAGCAAAATGTGAGAAATACCATATTCTGTAAATTTAACCACTGCTACTCCTTTTCCAACCTTTTTTAGCACTATAAATAATTTTATATTATGAAATTATAGATCCGTGTTTGAGTTTCACTAAACTGCCCAAGGATCCATTGAGTTTTACATGCTAATTAAATATCTACACTACACTGTATGCATAAATATATGATAAATGTGAGTTTCTGTTTTGCTTAACATAGGATGAAACTGCTTACCATCTACAGTGTATGCATAAATATTTAGCTTCAAATCATTAGTTTTTTTTTTTTTTTTTTTTCAAGAAATTGTGACTGACTTGAAGCAAAAGCAACCAGAAATGATAGAAATAGCAGTGTGGTTGAAGGCTACTGGTGGCGTGAGGAAAAGAGGGGTTCGTTTCAGGATTTGGGTCGGATATCCAACATTACTTCCCAGAGGCTACGATACACCGGAAATCAAAGATTGGGCCATCAACTTCACATGCATCTTGCGAGGCTCGAATTAAGCAATTAGAAGATCAGAATCAAGTAATGCATCAAAAGCAAAAGGATATGGAAGAACAATACTGTAGTATATGTGAGACTGTCCAGAAAATGGAATCACCATTTGCCCACTTTAGTCCACATCTTAGTAGTCCTAACTTGGATGGTATTCGCAGTAATAATGATACACAACCCCCCTCCGGTTAGTCCGATGATAATACACTATCCCCCCACTCTGATAAAGATTAGATAGTGCAATATTTGAATGTTTTTAACATGTATTTTGGATGGTGAAACAATTGCTACAACCTTATTGGCATGTTTAGCTAATATTTTGACAAATGTGTTTTTGATGGTGAAACAATTGCTACACCTTGATTTAAATGATTGATTATTGTTTGATTTCCCTAAATTGTTAATTGTATTGTAGAATTTAATATTATAGTGCTGAAATTTGAATTTTAATTGTAACAGGTCAAATTCATTTGATATTTGTAGAATTTTAAATTTTATTTTTTTTTTGTTAGTAAACCATATCGACCACCGTAGTGGTCGGTAACACAAATTTTAATTTTTTCTTTGTAAATCTTACCGACCATCGGTGGTAGGAAATATGCTCTTCTTATTCGACAACCATTAGTTCTGATGTCCTAAAAAAGAAAGTCAGTATTTCCGACCACCTTGACTAGTTGTCGTTAATACCGTGGGCCTTTTTACCGAATCCATAAAGTGGTCGGTAAGTTGGTCAGAAACTGTATTTCCAACCGGAAATCACCCTTTTCCGACCACTTTTTGGTGGTCGAAAAAATGCATTTTTCCAGTAGTGGAATAGGCGTGACGTAGTAATTTTGGTTTCTTCTTTTAATTGGATTATAATTGTCAGACAATATTTTCCATAATTATAGGATTTATATCAATGGTAGGTCTCCAAAAACCAAAAGTCCTGATATGAATCGCAAACATGAACGGTGGTAGTTTGTGCATATACGTATTAGGGTGTGTGCAGATTACTGTGTCGTAATGCACACAGGAGAACATATGTTGATAGAATTTTCATAAAAACATATGATGGTAGTATTTTTATATCAATGGTAGGTTTCCAAAAAACAAAAGTCTTGATTTGAATAGCAAACACGAACGATGGTGGTTTGTGTGTATATACGTATCAGGGTGTTTGCAGATTACTGTGTCATAATGCACATGGCAAAACATATGTTGATAAAATTTTCATAAGAAAACATATATTTCTTAACTAAGTTGCACATACTAAACCTCACGCCTGCAAATTGTTATGGTTCCCTCTACAATACACTCGTACATTTTCCTAATACATTTATAATGCTTCATATTTCACATGCACACAATGCTTACCCTTTTGTGCGTTCACAGCTTGCGCATACATTTTCACCGCTTTGTTTCATTAACACATTTGTATCACTGCATTGTTTATTGATCTAATGTTCACATGTTGTCTCTTACGATGCACACACTAATGCATACAATTATGCATATCACTTTACTCGTAGAATTTATCTTTACACTTATAGCACTAATAATTTTATGACCAGGTTCATTACAAAAGTCCTAGGAATAGGTAGGTATTCAAGAAAAGCACAGATGTACACACTTTTGCGCTGAAGTGCACATCTTGTAGTTGATCGTGCACACACAAAAAACCATGTATGCACACATATTTTGATTCCACTATACTTGTAGATTTTATAAATACAGCTACATCGTTGACAATTTATTGTTTGGGGAAATTAAAAAGAAACATAGAATTCTGTAACAAGTTTTCGTCTAGCTGCCATATGCCTTACTACTTGCATTTTTTCTAAAATAGTATCAATTCAAGTTTAACACTAAGCATCACGACATAGTAAACGGCACACGCCATGGTTCGTCTTTGCACAAATAGTCAAACACCCACCCACCCCGTGCTGTAAAGTCTTGTTGTTAGGACTAAGTTGTGTTACTCTACTACCACATACCATAGTTTATGCCACAGCAATTGCACAATAGTATGACGACACCACTCACACCATGTGTCAACGCACCATGTGAGCTGACACTTGTGACTGTCACCTCCTGGACCCCCACACCCCCATTCCACTAATGCGAACATCAACGACACGCACATACGTAATAGTCTCGACACCCGTTGCACTAACTACATATCCCAGGTGCATTGAGTAATTTTTAGTGGTGCACACGTGGTTACAAAGTAACGCAATAGTCAACGTGTGCTACCGTATGTGCGCAACCATGCACACACCTTCAGTGGTTCTGTGTCATCATCTATTTACCCAGTCGATGAAGCACGAACTACAGCTGCCATGGTCTAGCAGTGCACCACCAGACGATTTGAAAAAATGCAGTACGTTCCCAGCCTGCACACACTACACCATCGCTTTGTACACGGACTCGGCCACAAACACACCGTAACAATTATCTTCTTAAAAAAAACACTAACCTTGATTCGCCATCTACATTTTTGTGCGCCTACATTCAAAGTCGTCGATTTTGGATTTTCCAGTACCGGATTCTTGGATGCTTACCTATCATGATTACAATTCCTACAAATATGATAAAGATTACACATTGATTCTAAAACAAATTAAAATTCTAGCCCAATTACTATATCACCCCTCTCAATTAATTCTATATTAATTAAAATGAGAGAAAAAACTTAAATCGTAACTATTAATTTTTTAAGAATGGATGTTCTGGATTCGATCTCACGATCTCATATGGATAAGGTGATCGTCTCACCTGATCCTAAGTATATATATATATATATATATATATATATATATATATATATATATATATATATATATATATATATATATATATATATATATATCGTAAATACTTTATACGGCGGTTTTATTTTTTATTTTTTTAAAAAAATTCATTAGTACGGCGTATATGTTTATGATTATACGGTGGTTATTTAACCGCCGTATATATGTAACATACACAGCGGTTCCGAAAAACTGTCGTAGAAAGTATTTCTTTACAATGTCAATCACTTACGCGACACTTCAAAAATTGTCGTGTATGTGTAAAAAAAAACGTCATAGTAGCTATGTTATGCAGTAGTGTACATTATTCTAACTCATAAATACATTATCTTGTTGGTAGACATTTATTAGAAAAGTGATTTATTTCACTTTGCCTAATTTCATGGGCACAGACTTCTTCTTGTCCTAGGAGTGATCGTGGGTTCATCATGGAGAAATTCAACTTGATCTTATTTTTATGCCTCCTATGATCCTACCTCTGCGTCATTAGTGTGGTTCCTTCTGTATAAAAGTAGTAGCACTACACAGTGAAAAGACACCCCTAAACACTGCATTCCTAAATCTTCAACCTCTATTGTCTGAGCATATATATATTTACGCTATGTTACTGGTCGGGAGATACCAGAGAGTCGCCAAAAATAGCTTTTAAGGGAGTGTTCTTACGAACATGACACAGTTCAGTTCGCTATCTTCCTCTCCTTGTCTTCATATCCTTGTCGACGTTGTTCCCAGAAAATACAATAGTTAAAAGCTATTTCCCAAACAATGTTGACATACGTGTATTCCAGTGCATCCACCTTCGGAAATACATTCTAGTAGTGTGTATGTTTG